CCTGGCCAACATGGTGAAACCCATCTCTAGTAAAAAGATAACAAAAATTAGGCCGGGCTGGTGGCGCATGCTGTAATCTCAGCTACTCAGGAGCTGAGGCAGGAGAACTGCTTTGAACATCGGAAGCAGAGGTTGCAGGAGCCGAGGATTATACCACTGCACTCCATCCAGCCTGGCGCAACAAGAGAGAGACTCCGTCTGAAAAAAATACTATAAAATAAAATAAAATGAATATCAAAGCTCTTGAGTAACTGATATGGAAAGATCTACAATACATACATTAGATGAGAAAGCGAGCTGCAGAATAATACACAAATTGTGCTATATATGTTGAAATAAAATGAAGTAAATATTATACACATATAATCATGTTTTGTATTATACATGCTTGCTCACCCAAAGAGTATCTTCAGAAGGATACAAAAGAAAGTGCCAACAATGGTTACATGCGAAGGGAAAATGGGTTGCTGAGAGACAAGGCGTGCGGAAGAAACACTTACTTTTTACCTTTTGTATAAGTGTACATGTAAATGTAGCCAATAAAAATAAACAATTTCAAAAATAAAAAAGTAGAAAGTAAAAAATAAAAATAAAGGAAGACTTTTGCCATCTCCTGACCTCAGGTGATTCGCCTGCCTTGGCCTCCCGAAGTGCTGGGATTACAGGCATGAGCCACCACGCCCAGCCTGATATTCATTTTAAATGCTGCATCTATTATACCGTTTAGAATTTATTTGTGCAGTCTACTCTTAGTGGACGTTTATAGTATATAGCTATGCATACAATGCAGCAGTGAATATCTTTGCACATGTTGAGAGGTAGTATTTTATAGTTCTGAAGAACATGGAAATTTAGAGCTAGACCACTTGTGTTTTATTTTCACATCTACTATTGTGGAATGCTTCATTTTAGAAAAGTAACTTCATCTCCTCATACCTCAGTTTCTTCAGCTCAAAAAAAATGGCAAAGTATTATGCCTGCCTTGGAGAGTTATTATGAGACTTATATTACCTAATATTTATAAAGTGCTTGAACAGTGACCATACGTAGGGAGTACTCGATAGTTGTTAGCTATTTTCATATTTCATGCCATATACATAGGGGAAAAAATCTTAAGATAAAGTTATAGAAGTGAAATTGCTAGTTTAAAGGGCATGTGCATTTTTATATTATTAGATTTTTCCAAATCATGCTCCATGGAAGACACAGCTTTTTATATTTCCACCAGCCCTATGCCAGATTGTTTCTTTTTCCATACCTTTCAAACATAGTGAAATATAAATTATTTTATTCTTGGCCAATGTGAACTGATAGTAGCTTTAATACACATTTGTCCATTATGTCATTAAATGCATTTGAGCATTTTTTTTCACACATACGTGTTGCTTGTACTTTTTTTCTGTTAGTTGTCTGTGTGTGCTGCTTGCCCTGTCTTCTAAATGTATTGGCTTTTTTCTTG